ATATGTTTTTACTATGTTAGGGGGGGGGGGGGGGAAGGGGGAAAAGACCTGATGGTAAGTGACAACCGGCGGCTATGGACACATGCGACGGTCACAGGTGCGCTCCCGCCCTTTCAGTCCTTCCCCCAGAAGTTTGGGCTTGGGCTTCGGTAACCTCACTCACTACACTATGGTAATGTAGTAAAGCTATTTTTATGGTATACCTGATGTTACTCAAGTTGTGAACTCAAGGGTGACTAGTGCGTTGCCGCGATTTGAGTCCCCCCCCCCCCTGATTCTGGGGGTTTTGGGCTTCCAAGAGAATTGCGCAATACCGGTTTTCAGTGAGGCCATGGTTTCACCTCCGGTAGAGCCGGCCTATAAGTGAGTGATTAATAAAGTTATATTGCTTTATGGGTATATATAAGTTACATAGTTATACCAACAGCTGGTTTTATAATTATCACATACGCTAAACATTTAGCACGACGCATTATACTCAGCTATCTTAATTTTAACATCAATACTTTTAATACTATTACAATATACATTGGCGTGCATAAAAATAGACCAGCTTTGAAATTTGATCCGATGGATAGCATATGGATGTTTTAAAGGCACTCAAATGACCATTGATTTGACCAAACCGAGGCAACAAGTATGTAAAACAAGCCATGTGCACCTAATGACGCAGAAAATTCAGACTCGTTATTCGTCGGAGCAGTAAACTTCGATAAAAAATCCATATCAAAAATGACGATTTGTTATTTTTCGATAATTTATTTTTACATCAAGATTTATGCACGCCAGTATGGTAACACAATATGCGATGGGAGTAAAATGTTAACATGCATATATTATATATATATATATATATATATATATGTATTTATATATGCAGTAATTCAATGACTATTGAGTGAGGTAAAGAAATAATAATAAATATTTTTTTTACATCTGGCACAACGCCATCTAGCTTCAAACTACGCAGAACTTGTAGTATGAAAGCTAGATTGACCGATACAATGCTTCTATAGTTCATTTCTAAGGAGAATCCATTTAGTTACGAAAATAGTGACGCATCGAACAAGCCCCGCCCCTGACCAATCATGTTCCAAGAACTATTGTTTCGTACGAAAGCTTCGAACCTGAGTGGTCAGGGTTTGGCTTGATCGATGCGTCACTATTTTCTTAACGCAAATAGACTATACACATATTTTATTTTCATTATGACTGATTGGTACCCCAATTGCATGGCAATCAGTCATAATGGAGATGTGTAAAGAAATGCAGGTAATATTAAGTTTCACGTGAGCATTTTACCCCCCACGCATATACAATATATATTTAAATAATCCGAGAATAGTAACGGCAAATAAATTACATACTAATTATATAAACTATCACTAAATGAACAGCGTAATTTGTCCTATGGCAAATAAACGTAATAGCAAATTGTTAACAACATATATAAATTGATCCACTGGTCATTGATAAAAATATACAAATATTTTGGTAATACATACTAAAACACGGCTCTTGTGTTTTCGGTTTTATTTTTTGTATCTGTGCATTGAATATCGTATATAATTTTAATTTAGTATACCAAGAAAATTGCACGAACACAAATTATTTTTCTGCTATAATTTTGTAAAAAATGTTTTTCACTCATAAACAAAGATGTCTGTTCAAAACAACATTTCAGTTGACAAGTTCATTAAAAACAATATTTACTAACGATCGCAATTAACTATCAATAACAAATAAGAAATTATTTTAAATATATTTAAAAAATCTAAGAAAAGTTATAACGTGAATAAGTGGCATTGCAGAGTTCTGATAAAATATGTGTCTTTGTATCGCTAAGACACATTTTTCATCTCTCAAATCAAATCTTTCCACCAGATGTCAAATAGTATAAGTAACTAAAAACTAACCTCAAAAATGCAATAAACAAAACTACAAGCTAGCGAACGAGCATTTAATTAACATAAAGCAATAAACATGAGAATACCAACGTTACGTAAAATCACAATAAAAAACATTACCAAACTTAACAAGTTCCACATAATGTGTGTAACGCTGATAATTTTCTTTCTAAATCGTTCTATTTATAATGCCTATATGATAACATTTTTTTGAAACAGTTATACAGTTCTGTACATGTATTGCACATCTTTGCAAAGGATAACTTATAATGCAGAGTGTAAACGGATTTGCAGAGTTTAAATAGCATGTCTTACTTATAATTTTTTCATGTATCTTACCTTTTCTATTTAAATATATTAATGTCTATTGGTAAAATATTTAAAACGCATTTACTTGCATAAATTTAAAAAATTTAAACCGTTTAATGAATTCTACGGCTTGACACACAACGTCACAACGTTACGTTACGTTACGTTACTGCCAACGATTTATATAATGTCGACTACTGATGAACGTACAAATTAGTTCGTTACTTTCGTTCGTTAGAAACTGAAGTTTTCAAAGCTGAACTGTCAAAAATCTTTAGCACATGGAACAGTCGTTCGGTACTCAGTCTAAAGCATAAATACAAATGCATTATTCCCTGTCATTCCAAAACAAAAACACTATACCTACCGCTAAACCCAGGTTTACACACTTATTGTTTTTTTCCAAACCAGTCTATAATCTTCGCGTTTTTAATATTATTCACACATTTTCGTCCCTTTTCAAACTCACACTATCCTTTCGGTCACAGAGGCTATATTTTTGGCGTCACTATATTTTTCACTATCTCCTTGAATGAAGATAATTCTTATAACAAAAATGGTCAATCTTCGGTTTGTCAACACTGTTTTTAGGTATAAGAGAGCTTGTTGTTGAATCATTTTACTTTACTTTCATTAGACTTTGAAGCTTGGCTTGTTCAACATAAGGTCGAAATTCCGCTTTAAATATTCTAGAAGTTTATATATCCTGCAGCTAAACCATGTTTACTAAGTCAAGATATTGTTAGAATATTTTGTAGTTCTTTTCATTTTTTTTTAATACTTACCTCTCAAGGATTTAATATCTTTTTTTACCTTTTAATTTAAAATGTATTGGAATTGCACCAATTGCTTAACGTTATTTTTTCAACAATTAATATCTCATTCACGAAGTCCAATAAGAGATTTTATTCAATCTAGAGTTAGTTTTAATTCAAACTAGAAGTTCAGCGGCATTGATGGTACACATCTAAAAATGAGCTATACTTTTATCTAAGCGGCCAAGACCATCAGAGGTTGTTGTGAAGCAAACCAAATATACCGTACACAAAAATATTAAACAAAAAACGTGAAACATTGGTTAACATGTCTCTAAAATAAATAATACATAAACTACATATGTATATCATACTCAATACGAAATGTCGGACATTGACTACAGGATAAATTCGAGGAAGAATTATAATATGTATAATTATATCCATTTCAGTATAACCCCAATTAGTTGGCGCGGTTACGTCTTTAATTATTCTTAATATGAGAACCACAGAACATTTTATATTAGGGCTTGAACCCACTGCAGCGCTACTGTTGAACCAAAATCTCTATTTTTATTACTTTGAAATAGTTTAAACCCAGTAGATTGTTCAGTTATACATTTTGTACATAAAATACCGTTTATTTCTTTTGATATATAAATGTCTTATATAAATTAATAGGGTAATCCATAATAACCGAAAAAGTTTTTGTTGTCTGGTCATTTTATACATACTATTTAATTTTCCAAAAAAAAAATTGCATGTGTGTAGCAAAAGCAGCAGTGTGTTCTTGTATTTTTTTAAATATATATTTATACGTTAGTACAGTTTAATATTTCTATAGCTCATGAAAAACTCCGCCTATTCTCAAACCGCGTACTAATTAAAAACAGAATTTAATACAATTTTCCGATTTCCAATTTTAAACCGGTTTGGAACTAGACTTTTGTTAAACTTTGTAAAAATGGCGGCAAATTTCAGGCATGAGCTTTAGAAAACATGAAATTGATATTAACTATTACAATCTATTTAACACTACACATTTAAAATCAAAATTATTTTACCTCCAATAAGGTATAATGTATGCAGGTGATACATAAATTTATTACTACATAACATTGTGTTGTGTTCATCGTTGACATTGATTTTCTTTGGCAAATTATGTTTTATGTTCTCTAAACGTATATAACATATAGGGACAAATCATTACAGTGTTTACACTACTAAAGTAGTAAACTTTGCAGTATGTTTTTATTTGTAGTCGGTAGTAACAACGGTCGGGTTGAGCAACTGTTCGGGATTCTCGGCTCAGACGGCATTATATTTTGTTAATTCTATAATTATACAGGGCAATATGTTTACATGAGAACCTAATACAAAGTCGTGAAAGATGTGAGATCCTATCCTGAAAGTCATAATATTATTGCTTGAATATTTATTTCTATTAGCTTAAAATAACTCATAAAGAAGGTTGGTTGTAAAGTCGAGAATGTTGTAATTAGGCATGCTTAGATATAATTTTACTCCATTTGGTAGTTATTGCACATATTATTTTCATAAATGACTAAATCGAAAATTACAGAAGAATTGCAGTGAAGAAAGACAAAGTAAGAAAGAGTACTTAGTTTATTGGTTTTAAAACTTTATGTAGTGCGTCTTAAAGTTTAAAATTGCATTTTAATGATGCAAGGCGTCACAAGACATGAGGACGTGGATTTCAAAGTAAACGATAAACACAACATTAGACTAGAACAAAAATGAATTCCTTTCAAGGTACGCTGGATATGTTCCACCTAAGAGAACTTGCACACTACACAGATAAACCTTTGCTGTTACGATGTTTACATACGAAAATTTTACCTATCACCTTTACAATTTTTATTCTAAACTCTTCACAATAATTTTAGAACATTTTTTTTTGAAAATGTATTTTTCTCTATTCCAAAACGCAGTGTTTATCAGTACAGTGTATAGGTACCTTAGTCACTTGTTGACTGTCTACCTACTTGCCTGCATTGAACTATTTCGCCTAAGGTAACATGTTTAGTATATTCCTCTGTTCCAGCGATTCCTTCAGAGCGTAGAACAGTTGCAGTTGTTGTTCCGGTTTCAGATGGTACACCTATAAATATAAAAATTATATTAAGTACGAGTCGGACACAACAATAGCAGGAGCCTCCACCCGTTGACTGAGGACCCAGATCGGGTCAGGAACAAGTCGGACAGCCTACATTCGTGCGGAAAACCGTAAATCTATGTTAATATTATAAACCTGAAGAGTTTGGTTTGGTTGAAGGCGCTTATTTCAGGAACTACTTGTTTGAATTGAACAATTATTTTAGTGTTGAATAGCCTATTTATCGAGGAAGGCTATATAACATCACGCTACCATCAACAGGAGCCAAGCAGCGAAAATTTATGCCTTTTGAGAGACGCAAAGTTGTGCGGGTTCGTATTCTAAGTCAAAAGCATAAAATATATTTTTTGGTGCCTACGAAAGCTCTTAAAACTAGTGAGAATAACCCCACTATGACAGTACCTACTAACTTTTTAAAATTTTACATTTCTTGATATATAATTATGTATACGGGAATCGGATATACCTGTAATGATAGTAGTAAGTGTGGATAATAAATAAATAAATAAATAACGCCATTGATAGGGTGGGTTGACGCCATTGACGCTTGATGAGGTTGTGTGTTAGGCTGTATATGGCGTAACAAAAATATCAAAAATGATGGAATCGGATGTAGAATCTTCTGCCTCTTGTATTCAACGAAAGAGGTAGTGCGCCAATGAGCCATGGCGTATCTTATACCAATTAGGGGATCACATAATAATTTATCAACGAACACAACATTTTTTAAAGATAGTATATTTTATTATCCTCCGAACCTTTTCCCAAAACTAGGTTGGGGTTGGTTTTTACGACACTGGAAACGCTGGCGATGGTACTGTTTCCTCCTTGTCCTCTTGGAGGAGAGGATTATCGCCAGCGGCCAATATTCTAGCAGAAGAGGTAGCCGTTCATCGGCTCTCGGGCAAGGCCTGGTCCAGCAGGGTGGGCGTGTCTGCCGGTTGCCCTGCTGGCTCTTCGCTCTTCGGAGCATGGAGGAGGAAACCTCGGTAAAAAACCTGATGGCGGGGCCCTGTAGGGGCCACAGTTTCTCCGGCGTGTACTCACACTACCACCGAGCAGGCAGGGGGACGTAGTCTCCCTGTCAACCGTCGGCATATCGTAATCCCGAGAAGAGCGCTGTGGTTAAGTCTCGCGGCTCTGATCGGGGGCGAGGGTCTTGGCTTAACCGCCCGGACCGCGAGGAAGATAACCTCTCTAAAAAATTCCCCGAATCCCGTGTTCTGGTGCGTGGCCAGGGGATGCATGGCTGATGGGAAGTTCAGTCGCGAGCGCACTCCAAGCCGAGGTACCTGCGGACCCCTCGGTTGGGTTAAAAACTTACGCTTGCCCGGGTAATGGGGGATCTCTGCCCGGGTGGACCTTTAGTTCTCCCCCACTCGTGGGATTTACTATGGAAAACATAAACAAAAACCAAAAGAAAACGATCGGACAAACACAACGAAAACAGGCAAGCCTAACGGAAAAGGAAGCACAGCGAAGGAAGGAAAAGCAGAACAGTGGAGCGGATGGGTCGTCCACTGAGGGTGAGATGGTGTCAGGAACGCCTATCTCGATGGGGCTCCCAGAGGTCAGTCTGACTCTGGTCTCTGGGAGCCGAAGGGCATCGGATCGTTTGCGTTCCGGATCCGCCGTTTCATCGGATGGCGCGGACGCCATGGAAGCGGAGCGGAGCGACAGCCGGAAACGCGGACGCTCCAGGGAAGAGGGGACCGACACGTCCGGCGAAATGATGCCACCAAAGGTGGCAAGCAGCCGCCGAGGGAGGGCGCGTAAACCGGCCTCGGCCTCGGTCTCGACCCCGTCAGGCTCCGCGTTCTCAAACGCGGAGTCCTACAGGAGCGTACGAGTGGACGGCGAGGCCGTAGCGGAGGAGGAGATCGCGGATCTCCTGCTCAAGGTTCGGGAGCCGGTGGGGGGAAATGCCCCCCAGGCTCCCGTGTCCGTGCAGGAGAGGGCGAAAGCGGCGGTGGCCGTCATCGACAAGGTGGCCACCAAATCCGTGAACCTTAAGGGCTCGTTTGTGAGGGCCCTTAAGGACTCCTCCTCCGCTTTGTCGGAGGTCGTGGAGGGCCTAGTGGGCGACGTATCGCGCCTTCAGGTGGCCAACGAGAAGCTGACGGAGCGGGTGAACGAGCTGAGCGCTCAGTTCGCCCGCTTCCAGGCGAACCTCCCCGAGCGGGAAGCCCCGTCCGCGTCCCAGCCTGCCCCTACCACCAACTCAGGGGCATTTGACTCCCAACTGCGAGAAATCCTCATCGCAGTTGGGAATATGCTGGACGGACGCCTGGCTGGCCTGGAGGCGAGACTGCCCCCTGCGCCGATTATGCGCCCCCCGCTCGCGTCGGCACAGCGGCCTAAGGCCGCCGCTCCGACCGCGCTCCCCGTGGTGGGAGGCCGCGTTTCTTACGCGGCGGCGGCGTCTGCCCCTACTCCATCGGCTCCCCAAAAGCCGAGGAGGGGGGCCAAGGCACCGGCCCAGGCGCCGGCCAAGGCGGGGCCTAAAACGGCGCCGAGGAGCGGAGTGGCATTCCCTCCGCTCCCCACTCCGACACCCCTGCCGGGCCCCTCCGCACCTGCCCCCTCCAACGAGGGTTGGCAGGAGGCGAGGGGCTCCAAGAAGTCCCGAAGGCGGGCCAAAAAGGATGCCAAAAAAGCAGCCCAAGCCCAGCCTTCGCCACCGGTGGCAACGGCCTCCACAAAGAGGCCGCGGCTGTAGTGGTGACCGTGTCCCCGGAGGCGGCGGACGGCGGACGGCGGGCTGTCCTACGCGGCCGTCTTCAAAAAGGCCCGGGACAGCCTCGCCAACGATTTTGGAACGGTGGGGGTCAGGATGCGCCTCGCCCAGACGGGAGCTCGAGTCCTCGAGTTCCCTGGGGCTGAAGGCGCAAAGACGGCGGACACGTTTGCCGAGAAGCTGCGGGGACTCTTTACAGCTACGGATGGTGTAAAGATCGCCAGGCCTACTAAGTGCGCAGAGCTGCGCATCTCGGGCCTGGACGACTCCGTAACGGCCGAAGATATCCGCGCTGTAATCCGGGAGAAGACGGGGTGCAGCGCGGACAACGTCAGGGTCGGCACCATCCGCCCCGGTCCAGGAGGGCTTGGCGCTGTGTGGGTCAGCTGTCCCGTAGCGTCGGCCAAAGTATTGGCCGACGCCGGCAGGCTGCTCGTCGGTTTCGTGAGCGCCAGGATCACAGTCCTGGCGGCGAGACCGATGAGGTGCTACAAATGCCTAGCATCGGGACACACGCGCGTCAAGTGCGACAGCTGTTTTGACTGCGGCGGACTGTGTTTCCGCTGCGGTCAACCGGGGCATAAGGCGGCAGAATGCTCTGCCGCCCCTCACTGCCCAGTGTGTGCGGCGGGCAATAAGCCCGCCAATCACCAGATGGGGCAGAGAGGCTGCAAGCCTCCCCGCAGTTCTCGGCAGACGTCAGGGGCTAGCCAGTCGACCCAGGCTACCCCCGACGTCAATATTGCGTCGACGTCGTCGCCCATGGAGGAGGTTGTAGAGACGATCCAGTAATGGATCAAGTCTCCAACCTCCTGGTCCAGACGAACCTGGACCACTGTGCCGCGGCGCAGGATCTTTTCCTGCAAACCATGGCACAGTGGTCGATAGGTGTTGCCGTAGTCGCGGAGCCCTATTCTGTCCCTCCCCGTCCAAACTGGATGGGTGACTGGGACGGCTCCGTGGCAGTCGTCGGTTCCACGACGGCTCATTCCCCGCCCTTATCGCTAAGAGACAAGGGCACTGGATATGTTGCCGTCGAGTGGGGGGGATCACCATATATGGTGTCTATTTCTCCCCCAACCGGAGTTTGAACGACTTCGAGGTTTTCCTAACCAGCTTGGAGACCTCGATACGGCGACTAGCGTCTGGGCACGTCCTTGTGCTGGGGGACTTCAACGCAAAGTCCATTGCGTGGGGTTCCCCCAGGACGGACGCCAGGGGCGAGGCCGTAGAGGAGTGGGCGGCCTCGGTGGGCCTCTGTCTTCTAAACAGAGGCTCCACCAACACGTGCGTGCGACAGCAGGGGGGGTCGATAGTGGACCTCTCGTTCGCTACCCCTGCCCTCGCCGCACGAGTAAGGAACTGGCGTGTCCTGGAAGAGGTTGAGACGCTCTCGGATCACCTGTATATCCGATTTGAGCTCTCCCGGACCCAGGACTCCAGTAGGGGTCACGTGGCGCGGCGTTTATCCCGCTTTCCGCGGTGGGCTGTTGCCAGGCTGAACCGGGACCTACTAGAGGAGGCAGCCATAATTCACTCGTGGCTGTCTCCTCAGGCTCCGACCGAGGAGGTCGACGTGGGGGCTGGCCGCTTTCGCGATGCGATTACGCATGTATGCGATGCGGCCATGCCCCGCGTTCGAGGTCGTCGGCCTCCAAGGAAGGAGGTCTACTGGTGGTCCCAGGAGCTGGCGGACCTCCGTGCGGCCTGTACACGTGCCCGGAGGTCCTACACGCGCAGTCGGCGGCGTCACCGTGGAGACGGTGAGGAGGACCGGCTTCATGAGGAGTACCGACGGGCGCGGAAAACTCTGAAGCTGGCCATTAGCCGCGCCAAAGAAGAAAAAAGACAGGAGATGCTGGAGGGTCTTAATCGTGACCCCTGGGGTCGCCCTTACCGCGCGGTGCGACAAAAGCTCCGCGCGTCGGGCCCCCCCTTACGGAGACTCTCCAGCCCAGCTTCCTGCGAGAAGTGGTTGAGGGCCTTTTCCCACAACGGGCGGAACACACTCCCCCGTCGATGGCCTCCTTGGCCGGAGACGACGGGGAGCACGGGGAGGATAATGTTCCGCCCGTCCGGGAATCGGAGGTAGGGGCGGCTGTTCTACGGATCCGTTCCAAGAACACCGCCCCTGGGCCAGACGGGGTACCGGCCCGAGTGCTGGCCCTGGCCCTCAACCACATGGCAGACCGCCTCGGGGAGGTGTTCGACGCTAGCTTGGCGTCGGGACGCTTCCCTGAGTGCTGGAAGAGCGGGAAGCTGGTCCTATTGAGGAAGCCGGGACGGCCTGCCGATTCGGTCGCGGCCTATAGGCCCATCGTGCTGCTGGACGAGGCGGGCAAATTGTTTGAGAGGGTTCTTTCTGCCCGCATCGTCCGGCACCTCTGCGAGGTGGGCCCCGATCTGTCGGACGCCCAATTTGGTTTTCGGGCGGGGCGTTCGACGGTCGACGCCGTGTTGGGCCTGAGGGCCGTGACCGAAGAGGCAGTGAGCTGTGGCGGCGTGCTGTTGGCGGTGTCATTAGACATCGCCAACGCATTCAATAGTCTGCCATTCAGCTGCATCAGGGAAGCACTCCACTATTATGGGGTGCCAAAGTACCTGAGGCGGCTGGTGGCAGACTATTTAGAGGAGCGTACCGTCGTGTACGAGGACCGAGAAGGTTATTTGAGGTGTCGGCCCATGTCGTGCGGTGTTCCACAGGGGTCTGTTCTTGGACCCCTCTTGTGGAACATAGGGTACGACTGGGCCCTTCGCGCCGATTTCCCCCCCGGGCTGGGTGTAATCTGTTACGCAGACGATACCCTCGTGACAGCCCGGGGGGCAAACTTCCAAGAGGCGGCGCGCCTGGCCACAGGGGGAGTCTCCCTGGTGGTCGGGCGCATTGAGGCGCTGGGCTTACGGGTGGCCCTAGATAAGACGGAGGCCCTGTTATTCCATGGGCCCCGTCGTGGTCCACCCCCTGGCGCCTCAATCGTGGTCAACTCGGTCCTCGTACCGGTTCGGGCCCAGATGAAATATCTGGGCCTGATCCTCGACGGAAGGTGGCTCTTCGACGAGCACTTCCGACAGCTTGCTCCAAAGCTGGTCGGCGCTGCGTCTGCCCTAGGGCGACTTTTGCCCAATATGGGTGGACCCAGCGTCGCGACAAGACGGCTGTACACGGGGGTTGTCCGGTCAATGGCACTGTACGGTGCACCGGTGTGGGCGGCGGCTCTGACCGCCCAGAATAGGGTACGCCTCTGGCGCCCTCAGAGGGTAATGGCGGTCAGAGCCATACGCGGTTACCGCACCGTTTCGACGGAGGTGGCATGCGCATTGGCCGGAACAACCCCGTGGGATTTGGAGGCGGAAGTGCTCGCCGAAGTTTATCGGCGAGTGGCTGACTTCCGGGCGGAGAGCGGATTTCGCCCTCCGCCCGAGGATGTGCGCGAGTGGCGCGAAGCCGCTCGCCGAGCCACGATGGCTCGTTGGTCGTTCCGGCTGGAGACTCCACGCGCTGGCTTCGCCGCCGTGGAGGCTCTCCAGCCGGTCATCGCCGAGTGGGCGGGGCGGCAGCACGGGACCCTTTCCTTCCGGCTGACGCAGGTGCTTTCCGGGCATGGTTGCTTCGGAAAGTACCTGCACACGGTCGCTAGGAGGGAACTGAGTCCCGCCTGCCACCACTGCGACTGCAGTGAGGACTCGGCCCAGCACACGCTGGCGGTCTGCCCCGCATGGGCGGCGCAGCGCCGGGCCCTCACTGCAGTCATCGGAGTGGATCTCTCGCTACCGGCCGTAGTACGCTCCATGGCCGGTAGCGACAGTTGTTTTACCGCGGTCGCAACCTTCTGCGAGGTAGTAATCTCGCGGAAGGAGGCGGCGGAGAGGGCCCGGGAGGACGACCTCCACTCGGACCCGATCCGCCGCCGGCGAACCGGGCGGCGGAGGCCCGCCTATCACAGCCTCATGCCGCCCTGAGTGTGGCCGCGGGTGGACGGGGTGGGTTTCCCCTCCACCCGCATTAGTTTGGCCAGCCGCGAGGGGGCGGCATCCGCGTGTGCCGGACGTCGCCTAAAGAGAGGAAAAACACTGAGACGGAGCCCGCACCAGGAGCGGGCTGGCGCTAGGAGGGGTCCGGATGTCTTAACAACAGCTGTTCCCGGATCCCTCCTGTTACAGGCGCAGAGTGGCACACCGTGTGGTTTTAGTCGGTCCGAGTCCGACACACCACCCCGCCGCAAACCCCGGAGGGGTGACGATCCGAGGGGATTTCTACACGTTAAAAAAAAAAAATGGTTTTTACGACACGGCTGAACATTTTGTACGTATAGTGGCTGCCATGTGACCTCCACAACCCAAGTCTAGTACTTATCGCGATATCGAAGTTCTGTAGATACACTGCTGTCGGACTTTTAAGTGTTAATAATGGTCACCAATCCATCGATTGACCTGGCAAATATTGCTTAACTTTGCAATGTGATAACCTTCTCGATTTTTTAAGGATAGTTTAATATTAAAATACCGCATTCTCAAAATTTTAGGCTAACTGAAGTCCTTATATTAGCTGATTACCTGTTGCAACAGTTTCTGTGGAGTAGCGGTGCGGATAAAGCTGGTGATGTACACGTTGACGAAGGTGGCCATCAGGAACTGGCAGTCAAAACGATCCATTATACCACCGTGGCCAGGGATGACATCACCAAAGTCCTGTTGAATATAACATTACATTTAGTCATAAGATGATGACGGACGAATATATTTTTATAGTTGAATACAGTTTGTAATGTAAGTTTGAATGTATCTTACGAATATTGTAAAGGCGAAAGTTTGTTTGGATGTGTGTTACTCTTTTACTCAAAAACGGCTGAACGGAACCGGATGAAATTTGACACAGACGTAGATTATAATCTGGAATAGCACATAGGCTATCACGAAAAAAATGTAGTGTTGGGATGAGTAAGGTACAGTGTACAGTACAGTGCAGTGACTTTGTTTGTTACGCTTTCACGCCTAAACCGCTAAACCGATTTTCAAAATTCTTTCAAAGGTGGAAAGCTACATTATCAGCGGGTAACATAGGCTATTTTTTACCGCGATTACCTACATACTCGCAGACATCAGGACAAAAGCTAGTGATGAAGAATTTACAAATTAAATAGCGAGTGTGCAATACGGTAATAATACTAAAAATATTCGAGACGGCTTGGGAAATGGAGAAAGCAAAGAATCCTCCACTTACCTTGATCTTGAAAGCGCGTTTAAATCCTGAAGCGAAGAATCCCCCGAACGGTCCAATGACAGAGCTGAAGATGCTCAAGAACAACGAGTGGATCATGAACGGATACATGTTGAACTTCTCCATGCCAATCTGTAAATTTATAACAAATTATAAGGTCTGTGCACACTGAGGGAGGTCGCGAGAGAGTGACCATCGTGCTGTCATTTTAACTGACTTTACAGGTTGTAAAAATACTGCTAAAATTACTATTTTGCAAGAGTTTATAACCTAGTTATAGTAAAAAATATTCTGTATAAAGTTAATACACCAACTAAAAAATCGCGAACTAAAATGTGCGACTTGGGCAGTGTTTTCGATGAGCCACGCCTACTATATACCAGGATTAAGTACTAGTAGTAGTTAGTACTTCTTTCGTACACAAAAATCCTGACCTATTTCAACGCCTATCAGACGTTGTAAAAAGATACAATAGATTGTGCTTACACAGCGCTTAAACAAGGATGATAAGTAAAAGTTTGCTACGTATTGCGAAAAAAAAAAATAATAAACTGCCTTCCTACATTAAAAAAAAAATATTGACTTATTTAAAAATAAATTAAAAAATATCTTGGTTGCGAAATGTTATGATAGTGTTACTGACTTTATGAATGACAGAATTGTATTAAGGGAAATCATGGTTTTGACATGAAATTACTGACATTTTGTTTGTTAAAATTTATTGTATCATAGGTAGACTACGCAAATTCAACATATCTATATTTTTCTTTTATTGTGAAAACGAATTTTTTTTTTTTTTGCATGCCTTGAGGTAGAATGTGGTTATACCTTTATTAACACCTTAATATGTATACCTATGTTCGCTAAATAAATTATTTGATTTGATTTGATTTGAAAAGTACAAGTACAAAAACGTTAAGTATGAGATTTTGGAAAAAGTAATGAATTAACCACATTATAAATTACCTATTTATCTGAAATATTTTTGACGATCGTTAATATACTTACAACTTTCATTACGGGTTGCACAAACTGCGGTGGCGTGTACTCGTGAAGGCGGAATAGTGCAGAAGGCTCACAGTCCATAGTCATACGGCCCAAGGATTCCGAATACTCGATGGGACATACCAGGTACGGGTATTGGGCCATCCAGTACGATAGCTGCAATTACAAAGGAAGAAGGTACGAACATACAATTGAGTAGCATATGTTTGAAGCATTTGTATATATTAAAACATTAGAATTTAAAAACAATTTCAATTTCAACTTATTTAACTAAGGCTTTTAATATGCGGTATTTATTATATATATATAGGGTTACTGGGTAAGTGGACCTTAATACTTTAAGGGGTTGTAGTTGCCATCATTTCTAACAGATTTCATTATGAAATACCATATCCCAAAAATGAGCATTTTTAAGATATTGGACTTTTAAGATTTTTTATAAAAATCGCTCAAATTCACAATTAAGTAATAATACAATTTTTTATAGAACTTCTATGCTTTAATTTATGCTTTTTTACTGTTTTTGTGTAGTTGATTTCAATTACTAACATTGTAGTTAACTTAACAAACTGGACCGAATCGTAGATGGTTAATAACATGAAAATAAAACAATTTCTCAAAATAAATTTTTATTTGACAAATATAAAAAAAATCAATGACAGAGATCTCGTTTATTTTCTGTTTTTATCTAATTAGCTTTGATTATGAGAAAAAACGGATATCGTGTAATTTTTATACGTGTCTATAAATATGTCTGTTATTTGTCATATATTAAACTATTCAATGACAAAAAGCGTATTTCCATCAGCTTGGAAGGATGCTGACATTATACCCATCCCCAAAAAGAAAAACCCTGCATCCTTTTCTGATTACCGCCCTATTTCCGTCCTCCCCTTTCTCTCCAAGGTCCTTGAACGTCTTATTCATTCTCAACTTACAAGTTTCCTATCCAAAAACCTGCTCCTAAATCCTCTCCAGTCCGGTTTTCGACCCGGGCACAGTACCACTACTACCCTAGTTCATATTACGGAGGACATCAGATCTGCTATGGAGAATGGTGAGCTTACAGTCCTAACATTGCTGGACTTCAGTAATGCATTCAACACTGTTGACTTTGACGTTTTGCTGTGTACATTACGCTCTCTTAACATATCTCCAACTGTGATTGACTGGTTTCGCAACTACCTGTCTGGTCGCCGGCAGCGCATTAGTATTGAAAGCACTGTTTCTTCTTGGTGCAGTACTACAGCCGGTGTACCACAGGGCGGCGTGCTATCTCCGCTACTTTTCTCTGTTTTTATAAACACTATCACCAATGAACTATCTTCTTCCTACCACCTTTACGCGGATGATCTCCAGATCTATGCTAGGGCTTCACTGGCTAATCTTGCTGATGCTGTAGGCACTACAAATGCTGACCTTGGAAAAATATGTAAGTGGAGCAACTCCCACGGCCTGAAAATCAACCCAACTAAGACTCAGGTCATTGTCATTGGAAGCTCGCGAATGATCTCCAAAATTGACTGGACAAAACTGCCTCAAATTACTTGCAATGGTACACCTATTCCGTACAGTAATAAGGTCAAGAATCTGGGGATATACATGGATAGTACCTTATCCTGGGGTCCTCAGTTACAAGAACTGAGTCGCAAAATGTTTGCCGCTGCAGGGTCGTTACGCCGACTACGCAACTTTCTACCTACTCTAACCAAAATTGCTCTTGTACAATCCCTCCTTTTCCCCATCCTTGATTATGCTGATGCCAGCTATCTAGATCTTACTGAAGACCAATTGAATAAGCTTGAGAGACTCCAAAATCTCTGCATAAGATTCATATTTGGACTTCGCAAATATGATCATGTTTCTGAATATCGCAAGAAGCTTAAGTGGTTACCCATTCGCCTTCGCCGGGATGCACATACTCTTTCTCTTCTCTATAATATTCTATTTAATCCTTTTACACCACGTTACCTCAAAACACGGTTTACCTTCTCAAATGACACACACCCCAAGCTGTTGAGATCGTCTGAGAACCTGCAACTAAAAATGCCGGGACATTCCACTAAATTCCTCGACGTCTCCTTCTCTGTTAAAGCGGTTCGGTTGTGGAACGCCCTACCGGTCGTAATAAGACGTGCACAAACACTTGATTCCTTCAAGAAACAAGTGAAAGCACATTACCTAGGAGACATAAATGTACAATAATTATTAACCGCCTTTTAAGTCAATAAGGTTACATTATTTCTTATATTTAAGTATATATATTTGTATTATTATTTGTATATATTAATATACATTTAAGTATATACATTTGCGTGTATTTATAAATCACATTATTTTATTTATTTATTTGTATGTATCTAATAACACCACTAGTCTTTTTTAGCATATAGTATATGGCATATTCCTTCTAGTACCTATGTCATATTCACCTAAGTCGTATCAGAGTCCTAGACCTAGTCCTTCCAGTTATTTTTTTTTATATATTTATATAGATGCTACATTGATTTCCTCTTCTAATCTACTCGTATTTTCTTAGTACACCAGCCACTACCCTGCACCTCCTTGCCTTTATGTTTTTCTCTCCATACCAAGGTTGCCTGTAAGAGATTGCCTCTGAGCGATAAGGCCGCCATTTGTACCTGTCTAACCTAGCTTAAGTTAATCTTTATATATTTATACCTGGTGTACAATAAAGAGATTTATTATTATTATTATAGTAAGCTTACCAACAATCCAAAGACAACAGTAGAGAATCCACCTCCAATGAAACCTTCCCAGGTCTTCTTAGGGCTGAGCTTGATGAGCGGCGTCTTACCGAAGAAGAAACCGAACACATACGCCATCACATCGTTGCAGATTATCATGGATACAGGAACTATGAACCAGATGAGACCTGCAGAGAATAAAGATTTATATAATTATAGTATAATGTTACATAATAATATGATCATCGCCATTTATTTTTTCATATACTTAGATTTGATTTCACTCTAAAAATATTAGTAAAACTAGAAATTATTAACAATATAACATAGGGATGAATGTTCTTTTATTTCGAATCCGATATTTGAAACTGCCAATGTGAAAACAAAAAATAGATGCTAAATAATATTATAAACGAAAAAACCAGTGATCTTTTGTTTGTGACGATTTTAGAATAGGGTAAAAAAGTGCTTTCTCTAAAGGAGTCCTAATTGGCTAAAAATTTACAGTGAAGCCAGCGAAGCCACTGTAGTTTTTTTTATAGACAACTAAAAGCATTAGGCATCTCCCGCATTAGGAATATATCCTGTGCCCCGGGGGACTTTAAAAACATATATTAAACGAACACAAAGAACAACCTGACTCAGAACAACAATTTGTGTATCACAAAAAGTGATGTCCTATGTGGGGATCGGACCTTCATCACTCAGCGCCGCAGGAAGCGGCGAGGTGGCCGCTTAAACCACAACGCCATCCGTGTAGTTAAAATAATTATGATATTTTAGGTATTTTAGAACATCGATGTTTTATATTTTGATATTTATCGTACATTTATCAAAATTTCAGATTCGATGTTAGACCATTATTGAGATTGTATCATAATCAACAGCCTGTAACAGTCCACTACTGAATACTGGCCTCTCCTTAGAAAGGTTTGGGATTGGTATCTAGTTTTTTTTTTAAATTGTAATCTGTAGTTTTACGAATTAAAATTAAGGATAAACAGTATTTCTTATGATCATGACTATTAGCTATGACTTCCTTTTATTACATACTCCTTTACTTATCTAATCTAGTGTGAGTAAGTCTAAAAAATTCATGGCTGCTTAATCTGTAACTTTCTCGAAATTCTATTTGTCTGGTCATAATTAGTCATTTATTTGCATGTATGTATTTAGAAATTATATTATACACAGTAAAGGAGTATACTTAATATTTACGTAACACTACATTTGAGTGAACAGTATTGGCATGGTCTTTCGAACACCAACGAAATCTGGGATAGGATTCGTGGAAGCTCGAAAGAAAGACCATACTATTTCCAAAACTCGATTGTATATATATATATTATTAACTTTGATAATTTTGAAAATAGGTGTACACAGTGTATGTAATTATACTAAAGTCTCGCGACACCAGGATAATTCCCCTGTGCTGGAACCTCCATTAAACCGCTATGAAAGCCACCTATTACGTTTTACCTATAACGCGATATTATGAGACAATTATAAATAATCATATGACTACAAGTAATAAAGCAACTGCCATTTATATCGATATGATCATCGGTTTCCGGCAGTTATGCGGTTTTTCTGTTCAGTAACTAGGTATGTCATTTTAAATATATCATTTATTGTTTAAATAAAACCACCACAAATACGTATACATACATAAAATCTATAGTCAACGGTTATGTAAGCTGCTTTCAACTAAAAGTAATTATACATTTCTACTGTTTGTTTTTCTTCTAATATTGTGCATGTAGATGTACATAGTTTATTAAAATGTAAAACCAGTAACGTGAAATAAATTTATTCAGTAACTGACACGCAACAAGAAGCTATCTAAATTAGATTTAAGTATCGGTACATGACTCGATAAAATTGTGTGTTGCTCATTTCTGCTTAAAATAGGTCAGTGTTGTACGCACCAGTATTACCTGCTAAGATATTAGTAGAATATAATCTAGTTTCTAAAGGATGAACTAAGATTAGTATCCGGAGTAAAACAGTACCCATAAATAAAGCTGAATAAAGGTTGAATAATTATATCCTACAAACAATAACTAGTTAAAGTCAGTGCATCTGTGCATGCAATATCTCGTCACAAGCAGTTATCTGTACAAATCATTAATATAAGTAGCACACGGTGCTAATTGAAATGAGTAAAGTAGAAAAACTTGTAAAAGTGTTAATATACAATGTTAGGAACGTGTTAATTAATACCGGTTTATTGATTTTGCTTAGATGTGATAGTCTAGTTACATTAATGTAAAAGTTACAGACTTCAGAGAAGATTATATGTACATTGAACTAATGTTAATCATACAAACACTGTCTTTTGACTCTTGCCATCTTTTCGAGTTCAGTAGAACTAGTTTGGAACAATCATTGTCTAACAAATCAAATACAATGCTTTTTTAGGATAGTTAGAATTACGATGACACAGCAACAATAAACATCGCATAGTCTGTGGCATAACTCTAAAACTGTACAAAACTCATTTTTATATGCAGAAACACTCAAAATTATTCAAATTTTTGCATTTAGTGGAATAGGTAATTTAATGATATGTTTAAATGTTACAGTCATTTATTGTATGATGTATATTTATAAAAGTAATACTTTTTTTATATTAGAGGGGGCAGACGAGCAGACGGGTCACCTGTTGGAAAGTGACCATCGCCGCAAATGAACGTCTGCAACTCAGGAGTCACAAAAGCGTTACGGCCTTCTAGGAAGGAGTAGCCTCTTTTCTTGAAGGTTTGAAGGTCGTGTCGGTCCGGCAATACTTTGTACCATAGTGCGTAAATCGGAGACAAAATCACGCTTAAATGTACGCACATAATCATACGATATAATGAATGTATTTTCTCTAAAACCAATTATATTTTTAACGTTTAAATTTCATCGATTTGTCTGAATTTAGTGACCTGAAACTCAACAGTAGAATATTATAATCTTATTTAATCGTCAAACACACATCTGAAGTATCACAGCCGGTTTATTAACCGACTATAAAAAAGGAGAAGGCTCTTATATTAACTGGATGCGCATTGACACTTTTTTTTAAGTTAATTATGATAGCAATGTGTTAATTTTATATATTTCGATATTTTGTTTCAAAATAATAAAAAAGTCTTTTAAACTTTACTCGTTTGATTGTTAACAAATGTATTTTAGGTATCAAACAATAAAGGTAACCGCTTGTCATACTGACTTTTCATTTTTTAGTTGAGTCATCCAATAGATACTGTATCTATCGGCAATTCAGACTTTACGATGCTCTCGATATTACTGTATAGTCATTTTACTTCAAATATTCTATTACTTTAAATATTGGCAAGACGATTTCAATTTTTTCTCTGGAGAAATTAAATAGGCATACATATGCGCATGTGAACTGGTGTGTTAAATGTAATCCGCTAGCAGTCAAAGTTATTAAGACAAAACCACAGATTTTACCGTTATCTAGATAGTTTTTACAAAAATAGATCTACCTATCTAAATAAAAAAAAAAACAATGTTTATTCTCTGTGTCCCGAAACCATTGATCAGATTGTGATGAAACTGGTAGGGTGAAATGGAATGTACGCGAGGTTTCCTGGCCCAAAAAAACTATATTTGTTTGTTTTTTTACATATTAATTACTTTATTTATTATATTCATAATTTATCTATTTCTTTACAGTTTATTTGACGTTGCAACGCATGACGGGTATAGCTATTTTCATTATTAATCTATACATCTATTATATTCATACTGAATAGACAAACCACTTATTTTGAAAAAAAAAACTTATTTGACAAAGTGTGGACAAAAAGTGTGTGATAAGACTACATGAGCCGTTTATACTTGTCGCTGTTGCCACCATTGCAAGGAATTAAAAATGATTATATAACATCTATAATTAGTAATTTAACTTTATAATAGAGTAGTACGTCACAATGTTGTATATGCTTCAACAGCGGTAACAATGTCGAGGTCGAAGATCAAACGTCTAATATTAAAATACAATGTTTACTGGATACCTGCAGTCGGTACCTACTGTCTGAAAGCGTTTTCAAGACACTTTTACACTATATGTTTGATTTAACTTTAGTTTTTGAACAGAATATTCAAGAGGTGCTAGGGACACACTGTTCGATGTTGTAAGGCTATGAGTTTGTTAAAATCAGAACCACAGCAGTTCTAGTGCAATGGGACTAATACCGCCGGTGTTCGAGTATGCTGGGACTATGAGTAGTGAGTCACCTATACCTACTGCGATTATAGAGTGCATACAGTATTGGCAACCGTGAGGTTTACAGAGAAAAAAAAGGATATTAAAACAGTCAACCTTATAATAAAAGTCCTAATCACCTAAAGGTGTAATAATAAATAGAATAATAAAAATTGACAGCATCAAATGCTTTAGATCTTGAAGGTCATTCTACTTGGCTGTGAAAAGGTTTGGGATTCTATTGTTACTTCTTTTTTTATGTAATTTTGCAAGCATGAGTTGTGTGCTGTCTATCACTGATCGCCATATGGCAGACGCAAGAATGTTTTAATACTAATTGTTTTTACAACATCCAAGCAAAATAAATATAAAATTACTGACACACTCATAAAAAAATCTATCGACCTAAACAGTTCTATAACGTTCTGAATACATCGATCACCTAAGATTGATGAAAAGTCGCAGTACACAATTTCAACTATACACGTAAGGAAAATGCGCCTAAAGATTGAGACGTTAGGATTCAATTTCGTTTATCGGCACGTTTATGCTGACACAAAACAACGTAATCTATTTTAGCGGCGTTGAGTCTTCCACAAGGTAATAGGATATAGTTACATTATATAGACAGGCGGGCCAGTTATATTCGACCAAAGTCGGCTATCGATTATCCTTCAGAAATTAATTAGTAAAATTTTGTTGCTCACGTTACGAAATAACAAGGTACCATTGTATTGTGTCAGGTTAGTTGTAAATGTCGTAACGAACAAAACTAAAAACGGGCCACATACCTACTTTTTTATATGTGCTACATACTACATATGTACATATTGATTATACTTAAAACGCTAAATGGTACTGACAAAAGAAATTTTCTCAATAGATTAATTAAGTTGGTAAACTTTCTGAAATCCATGCGAGTTAAGTTTTTGGCTGTTAAGCATATAGGGAAGTCCGTACGGTGACAGA